ATTCGCAGATGAAAAAAAAACAAAAATGCTCTGTGTGATTATATAGTATGTGTATGATCAAAATCACATATTTGACCATTTTAAGAAATAAATCAATGTATCTTTTTACTGTTTTGACATTTTTTCAAACTACTGTGACGCTGACATGACGTCACCATAATCAAAGGAATTCCATTCATAAATTCAAGGCGTGACGTCACACGATCTCCTATTCCGAGTCGCTGTCGCTCTCGATCACCATGATTCGACGACGTTTGGGTGGTGGAACATTTGTGGTGATATTTACGGTGATTTGGCAATTTTCAATGTGAGAACCAGCAAACAAGGATTCGATGCGAGTTTCAGATTGTTTCCGTGATACAGGATTGAAGGTGTTAACCGTGTTTTCTTGTGATGACGATGGTAAACACACTGTGACATCAGATGTAGGCCTAGTAACTGTTGAAGTTGATGAAATGGTGGCAGAGGATGGTGTTCGGTTTGATGGAATTAATTCGGAGCTTTTTGTGTTTGACAAGATATTGGAAATTATGTACTTCTGTCTGTCATTCAGTGTCTTGTAAGTATTCAGCGACTGTGTGTTTTTATGACCCGTGACATAAAAAATGACACTGTAAGAGTTGTCTCTCCTGAACACAGATTAATCCGCGCACGTGTTTGCCCATGTAAGATAGAATTTTCTTACATAGCTATCTTACATGGGCAAACTCTATCCAATATGGCGGGATATGAGAGAAATGATATTATTGATATTGATCGATGTAAATAAAGTTTTGCATGAAACAAACAATTTAAATTTCTTTGTCAACTTTCTGCTGTTGGATCAGATTCTTTCATTTTACATTTTTTCGCGAGTCTTTTTTCCTCCCATGTGATGATTCGTCTAACCGGTAAACATATAACATCTCTCATCTCTATACCTAGCGGAAGTTAAACTACCCGCTGCCACAGCCAATAGTGATTTAACTCTATGTGAGATTCCTCCCCAACACCAAAACCGATCCACCCCAAAATCTACCTGTCTCTACTACGCAGCAGTCGGCATAACATTCTCCATGACGTCGGTATACACGACGTCGAACGTTTGCTCGGGGTGAAACAGGGTAAAACGGGACTCATCAGTAAGCAAACCTTACGACTCTGGCGACGAGCAGCGGTAAGGAGCAGACCTACAAACCGGTGACGAGCCCGCAGATCAAATTCCCACAATCGGTTTCCTTACAGTTTTTCCATAAATAGGACGGCGATGAGTACCAATGGTATGAAGTGCAGATTCTGTGACAGTAAGGTGACGATTTCACTAATGCGCGAGACGAATAAACCTGTCCTGATTTTGTGACGTCACGCGCGGACCCCCAAACCCAGATCTGTTAGCAATCTGCCCAGTTACCATTATGCGTCTAAGACGACATTCTAGAGTGTTAATATGGACACCGAAATGTCTGGCAACCTGTATTTGCTATCAGAAAGTAACCAAAATATCGGAAAATGATGTGTCTCTATGAAAACTACTTAATGGTACGACGAGCAGTGTAACTTAATGTAACAACACTGCTGTGAAAGAGATGTTTACGTTTCGTGTTTTCTGCGGAAGACATCTTCATGTAATACCATAATGCAACATTCATTACAGGACTACGTGCACTGTAATCTAGAAAGATGCTTGACCGATTTTCATTGGTTTGAACAACACGTTCGCATGATATTGCAAATAATGTCACCCTGTGTTTCTTTATCCCTTGGGTGTATATATATATATATATATATGCTAAGCGTTAAACATGTCATGCTACAAAATAATTCGGGATGAATGAAAGAATGTGATGATGAATAATTTCGTCTCTGTAGCGTACATTGGTAAAGGTGACTTCCATTATAATCAAAAGGACTATTCCATGTATTCTCCAGCACTCGACCGTCACTACAAGCAAGGTGAAATCTGGGTTCATATGTGACTGTTAACAGTACCTTAGGACAGGCACTATTTGTGAATCGATAATAAATCTGGACTAACAGCGGGCTAACGCGGGCGGATGCAGGCCTACGCAATCGGTTTTGCACCGTTCTGGAACTAATCAGTCTTAGTTCTGAAATGCTTGTGGCAGGCAATGAAGAGGAATGTAACTGAAATCACATATGTATGTCTTTATTTATCATTCTATTAAGTATTATCAAATCTAGGTTTCAGTCGTATTGTGATACTTTGTTTACGAAAGAAGTGGAATAAGTATGTAGATTTTAATGAACTTCAAAGAGTTTTCGTCCACTCTTCAACGAAGCTTTATAAGAATATTTAATTAGAACTGAATAGAATACTACTCATAAACGTCTCATAAGTATCCAGGGACCTGCGCTCTGACTTACTCTACACAAACCAATAATCACTGTCTTGTGTTTTGTGAATGGCTGTCAAAGTCTCTTACTTCATTGTAGAAAGTGCTTGTACATCTAGTGATATTTTCCCTCGGACATTTTTGATCGGATTTGGAGTCGGTAAGGAAAACACTAAGTAACGTTGTCGGTTTTTTCTCAGCGATGCCTTATTGATAAAAAAACTACAAGATAGTACTGGGGTAACCACATATTCGATATACTATCAGCAACCAGGGAAACCATCATGGCGATTCGTATTTCAACGCTGACTTAATGGGACTGCCACTATGAGAAATACACTGGTTATATCGTCATTTTCGTATTTATTTCACTACTTATTTTGTTCATTTTTTTTTCGTGATCGTCTGTTTGGTATGAGTCTATGAATAAAGGAATACATGATAAAAATATTTGAAATTCATCAAACAGAAATTCAATTCACAACATCGGAATAAATTTTATTAAGATTTCGAAAACATTGCTGGGGAAGATTAATTACTATCTAGAAAAGGAGGGTTCATATTCTGGTAATCAAAAGCATGCTACTTGTTTCAATGTATGTACGTGGAAAGCTGCTGGCGAAGGAGAGTCAGCTGTGTCCTTGATTTTGAATTCCTGTGGGTATATATACGAAGGACATGGTCATTAAATTTCTTTTTCAATACTACCATTTGTGACTGAAAATATAATGCGATGCAAACATAAATGATGATTAAAGGGCTACTTCATATGGTCTTTTAGTATTGACATTCCATAAAACATTTTTGAATAACACTTTAATTGTTAGTTTGATATCAACTTTATTTCAATACTATTTTGAACATGTTGTAAACATAACAAATAAGTACTCAAAACAAATTAGACCTGAAAACAAGTAAGGGTAACTTATATCGCTCCGATCAACTTTCCCTACCAATGACAACATCAATTTTGCTAGTGCGCGAAAAACACCAACAAAGAGTTAAAACTGTTCAAAGCATTAAATCTATATTGTTGCTTTTCTCTGAGTGCCAGAAAAAGACCTGTTACAATTGTTGGTCGCTGAATGTGAAAATGAAAGATCAACGTACGAATTATATAAACTGCAATAACATGTTAACCTATTCTTACGTAATCTTAACCTGAGATGGTTTTTTGGCATTGTCACGTTATTTATTACCTCTTTATCCACAGATACAAACGGTGACATATACCTAAAGTTACCTTCAGAACAGCACGGATCGGTAAACACATTCTCAATGTTGATAGTAGGTTCTCAGGACGCCGAATCTTCATTTCCAGTTTCACTGTTATTCTTTTACCGGAATATACGTGGAGGATATCTTTATATCAAAACCGACCACGATTAACGGAAACTTGGACAAAATAAAGGGTGAATTTACTTACATTACTTTTGGAGGTAGGTCATCAACTGCTTTATAAAATACAAAATATCATTTTCTCTTTTATAGGCTGAGAAGTCAATGGCGGTCATAATTTGAAAAAAATTGGGAACAAAATTTTCGAAGAAATATTCGTCAGATTTGTTTTATATAAATTGATAAAGTATACTACTCAGTCTTGCCATTGATACAAATGTAACAATGATTGTCTGTCAGAAAAACAGGTAGGCAAGATGCTCGCCAATTATAAGTCTATTTATTACGATCTCCATTTAATCATTATCATTGTTTTCTTTCTGCGGAATGCGGCTGGGTTAGCTTGACGATATCAACTACAGAAAAAAATATATTGTTGTACATATGTATCTATATTAGTGATCACACGCAGGACATATTTTCTATTATCTAAACTGAACACAAATGTGGGGGGATGATGGGTTGGGATGATGGGTGGGGTTGGAAAGCAAAAACTGTCGAAAGCTGGCTTTGAACTCGTTGGTATACAGGTAAGTAAAATACTGTATATTTTTTCCGCATTTACAGACTGTAAAGTCTATATCATAACGCTCATTCGTTTTTTACTTCAATTAAAAAATCATAATATTACTCAATGAAAACGAATCTAAAAATAAATCAACTTACCTGAGTATATTAATTCTGTGACTGCGCATTGGAAGAAACTGCGTTATGTATATTTTTGAAATTGTAACTAAATTAGGCATATCTAAACTTTTAAAAGTATTTGAAAACCTACGATTGTAGTTCAGGAATTGTGAATATGACTTACATGTACAACGATGTTTCAAGTTCAGACGAAATATATAAATATAGACTTTATTTCGCTACAAGGGTTGAAAAAGCTAGCAGCTTATGTTAATCACTCTATTTGGTGCCCGTGGGGTCTTATTGTAGGAGGAAAGCGGTGTACCCAGAGAAAACTCACATAATCGGGACCCTCATGTCATTTCACGTGCGCTCCGGGAATCAAACCCTTAACGTCTAGCTGAAAGGCGAATGTGTTACCTTTGCGCAACCTGATCGCCCATATGAGTACTAATTACAGGGAAACGCTGGTCCATCAGCACACTGAGCTCGGACAATACAGATTGTAATAAATATGTTTGATCGTTGTAAAAAAAAACTGCATATTTTGTCTATAATGCCTAATACTAGTTCTCAATGGAGCTTTGTAAACAAATTCTATTTTGATTGCACTCTTTCAACAGGTGTTGTATTTTCAGCAAAATGGAAACCAATGGTGATGTCTTTGTGGTGTCTAATGGTGCTCAGCAGCAGAGCATTGATCACGTGACCATCTCATCTACACGTTCCCAAAACAAGCCTCCAACAGCACCGGATGGTGGATGGGGATGGGTTATCACGTTTTCTTCCTTCATGCTCAACTTTTTGGTGGACGGCGTTAGTTTATCTGTTGGCATCTTTTTCAATACATTTTTGACAACGTTTGGAGAAAGCAAAGGGAAAACACAGTTACTGAGCTCTGTTATCAATGGCGTGGCATACATAGTTGGTATGAATTTTAATTTCCGCCTTCTGTCTTGCAACAGTTTGTTTGCTTAATGAAGCATTTGTACCAAATATGTGTTTTCAAATAGTTATGACCGCAGGGTTATGTACTTTTAAAATGTGTTAAAACAACAAATGCATTACTATTTAAAAGGACAGGGGACATGATTTTAAACTTTTTCTAAAAATAAAATTCAGGTTTCGTTTTTAAAAACAATATCGGTGCTTGTGGTTATTCCTAAATACCCCGTTACCTATTTCAGGCCTTCAATGTTACCAGTTAAAATTTTATTCAGCATGCGAGGTCACGTGACACTGTGATGTTACTGGTGCCCTAATTATCTATAAATGTACCATATAATATATATACGTGAGTTAGTTAGGAACCACATGCATCATAGTATGGGGACCTTTTACATCCGCAAGCAGACAATTACAATTGTATTCTTTTGTTTCAGTTTTCCATCTCAAGAATCGATCTTACTGGTTCAGTGATGATCGAAAAATACATTTAATGTTTGAAAAATATGGAGTAAACTGGACGTTTAATCTGATACATGGCTATATGTACTGACATTATAGCAGCCGAATATCGACAGGAGTGCACCAGTGAAGTCACAAGTCGATCAGCCTCATTTTCGCTCATGCAATATCATATTCAGAGCACACAGTTTTATTGTGGTTTACCTCTTAAGTCATTAATTCACGTAGACACGGGGAATAGCGGCGTCTTGTGAATTACAGCTACCGTGGCATCGCATGAGCTAAAAATGTAGAATTGCGAAAAATCATGTCCAATGTTTTTTAACAGAAGAGGAGCGTAGTTCCCTCTTCATGCAAATAATGTTTGGTTATTAAAGACATTGAATTAGAAGATTTTTTAACTTAATGTGTTAATTCGCATGATCATACAATTCCAATCCCCCTACTTGTTATCATTTCTTCTTATATACGTTCATTACTTTTCTGAAGGTCCAATATCTGGTTCGTTTGCTAACCGATTCGGATGTCGGACAGCAACCGGTCTTGGGATTATCATAGCCAGCGTCGGAATCTTTTTCTCCACCTTCTCCCCTAGTCTTGACGTCATGATTTTACTATACGGCGTTATGGGAGGTCAGTGAATAATAATATAATCATATATTGACGCAGCCAGTATATCCCAGAACTTATCTATATTTTGTTGAGTGATATTGTGCCGATATGGATAGCATTTTAATTAATCGATATCAGAAATTTCTTTAAATATCCAATTTCACGTTCGCTGATAAAAGATACAATGACTGAATTATTTGTTTATAAGATAATTGTTTAATGGTTATAACTTGCATATGGCAGGTATTGGATTCGGATTGGTGTACACACCCAGCATAGTAATAGTAAGTTACTACTTCGAAAAACGCCGAGCTCTTGCTACTGGGATCGCCGCATGCGGATCGGGTATCGGAGGGTTTGTGTTCGCTCCACTTTGCGTACTTCTACTGGAAATGTACGGTTGGCGAGGAGCGTTTTGGGTAATCACAGGCATCGTGTTAAATGGTGTCGTGTTTGCAGCATTTTACAGAGAGCTGAAATCACCAAGAGCAGGAAAAGAGCTTAATAACGTAGACAGAGCAGGGACGAATAATGAATCGAACTGTAGAAGAACCTGTTCTTCTGTTTCGTTGAAGTTCGACTGTTCCTTGCTTAAAAGTCCATGTTTTGCTGTTTTTTCCTTGTCGTGTTTCCTGATGTCAACAGGCATGTAGAAGTTTGATATTGTTTATATATTAATTTTGAAATAAAAGAGCTAATTAAAGATAGATGTAAAACAAATATATTGTTATTTAAGGATAAAAACTTTTAATTATCTCATCCTGAAATGGCACGACGTTGAATTACATAGGACAACGCTATCATTATAGGTTGGTATATTCCGTTCAATTTTCTACCTGTGCTGGCGGATGATCTCAATCTGTCTGCAAATGAAGGAGCTCTTCTTATCTCCATCATAGGGATATCTAACACCGCCTCAAATGTTGTGTTTGGTTTCATCATCGACCTTCCTTGTGTCGACAGTATTCTCCTGAACAGTGTCGTGCTTGTAATTGGAGGAGTGACCACGTGTCTCGTTCCCTATTGTCGAGAGTTCGCAATTTTAGCCACTTATTCAGCTTTATTTGGCGCGGTCGGAGGTAACATTGATTTTTTTCATTTTAGGAATAATTGAACCTGTAAGTAGTATTGACAAGAGTTGTGGATTTTTAAATTTCTTTCTAGGCTTAACATGTAGTAAAATACTCATTAAACGCATTCGGCACTAACCCCAGCGGACATTTTAAACTACGTCTTAAAAAAGCATCATTCACCTAATAAAGATCGTCTACATTTTAGATATCAATTCAACAAAACTGACACTTACCACTTTCTGTTACTTTCAGGAGCTTTCCAACCACTAAATTCCATTATTATTATAGATTTGAAAGGTATCGAGAAGTTGTCCAATGGATTTGGACTACTCAACTTGTTTATCGGGATTGCTTCCATCATTGGATCACCAATTGCAGGTGAGTGATTTCATCATATGAAACATAGTACCCACGAATCAACTAAAACACTTGTAAGTAGTGAGGAAAACAATGACAAAAGCAGAATGTAGACATGGCGTTGCAGGTGCGTAAGCGTCTTCCGTTTCATTGACGAGATGTGATGTGAAAATACAAGATAAAGAATATCATGTTTACAAAATAAAAAGATGCAGATATGATAATGCCATCATTTATGATCAAAGAATGGCATTGATATATAGAATTTTGTTTGACAGAAACTGGAATTTTATTATCAAGAAAAAGCTAATCCACACACCTACACACCCTTACCACCCAGCTTATTGGTAAGTCGTCCAAAATGTAGAGCATATCATTCTTTGATTACAGGATCATGATAGTGAATCACGAAAGTATCATGCAATCTGATAACAAAACTGTTGATAGAGAATAGTGTTGATAGTTGATTACGTATTTGGACTTTTTCCACACCCCTTTTTTACCTCAGATAATATGCGATGGGCGACATAGAATTAAATATTAAAAATATTGCACACCGTTAATCCATCGTGTTCGGACGCCTCGGTTTTTTTACCTTCAGACATCGTACAAATGTCATGTACACATCGTGCCATGCTTGTGCTAGTGACTATGTCGATTTAACATGAATTAATCGTATACTTTATGTAATACTGTATCAATCGATTTCAGGAATTCTCTCCGACGTCACAGCGGGCTATGACGCAGCATTCTACTTCGCTGGAGCTACCATCACCATCGCTGGGATTGTTTCGTTCCCGCTACGCCTAATTGCAAAATGTGAAAACTCCAACAAAGATCCAAGCGTTTAGGCTGATCAAAAGGCTAACTGAAACTAGAGGAGATTTACGCTTCATATACGTTACACACCTTGGGTCATTGTCAACGTATCCTGCATTGATTTGACACAAAGGACTTCGTTGTTCTTCTTGTGCTGCAAAGTAATGTCAATCGACATATATTGTCTAAATTTTTTCAATGAAGACATTCCCGACTTTCTGTGATTTTAACATTAGAATATCACAAAATAGAGTTTGGTTTGAGAGGAGGTAATTCTCGATGCAACAAGCTCATCAGGAAACTTAAACCATTACAAGAGAGAGACGATGCCTAAGTACATGTAAGAAACTGGCGAGTAACGATATTGTATACAAGGACATCACACGTTCATGGTTAATAATACAGTTATATGTATCTAGTTGTGTAATAAACGTTTTGAAATATAATCTAAATCATACGAATATATTACATCATGTTCCTGGATTAGAACAATCATTTTCCAGAATAACCAAATTGTCATACCTAAATAATTATTTTAAGTCATGGCTTTGCAAAAATTGTTATTAACTTTCAAGTTATTAACTGTAACATGAAATGGTTAATTCTTTTCGATGATAACAAATAGATGATCTGTTAGTTTATGAAGGAATCTGTATGCGCATTCCCATTCAAAAGGACATATGTTGGATTTGGATAGATGTATTCAATAATATTCAAATAGCATAACCAATGTCCATAGTTCACACGATAAAATGTGTTTCATATACTTGTACATGTACATAAAAAATACGAACAAAAAGGAATGTATGTGTGTGATTTACACTCGTTTTAGTGCGAGGAGCTATATCAAAAGCACCACAGACGTTATATTCTGTATTTTGATTAATAAAAAAATCAGCATTATGCAGGGTAAACTGAAACATCAACTTCGAGGGTTTAATTCACAATGCGACGATATGTGGTGCCATTAATATAGTCTTACTTGTGACATCGCTTAAATTTTGATCTGTGTTCTACAATAAACGATATAATCAGTAGACTTCAAATGCAAGTCTCGTGTATTGTACTAAAGCGGAAATATAAAACCAATTTTATTGTGGAATTTATTTTCATCAATTTCATGGGAACTCGTATGTCCAAGAACTGTGATTTTTATAAGTAACTATATCAAGGTACTGAAGCTATAAAAAGCTATAAGAAGCTATAAGAAAATGATGTGTCCACGCAATTTTGGTGGTTATTTATTTTATTTTATAAATTTATCTATTTTATTTGAAAAAATCGAAAATATATCATTTAACAGTTTTTATATAGTAACAGAGTTTCAGGTCCCATATATGCTATTTGAAAAATACCAAATTCAGTCACGAAAGGAAGTTTACATACATTATCAAATAATAGCTATCATTATGGATATACTATCAATCAACACATAAAAATGAAAATGATAGCATATCGAAAAGAGAAGAGAAAGACAAATAGTGATTACAACAAGAAGCATAAACTCTCCATGTAGTCTTAAAAGAGCTCTACGGCCGTTACGGCTGTGTTCAAAGTGCCACAACATAGCAGTAACTGATATATTAACACAATCTTAATTTGAACTCAATTTGAAATCATCACGATGATCATACAGCTTGATAGAAAACAACTGAGGTAATCCGCCGTTGAAGAAGAGTCTATCTTGTCCTTGATTTCAAATTCTGGAGGACGCATATAATGGATATGGTCAATAAATCTCTCCTTGTTTAAAGCCGTCATTATATCTGAAAATGAGATTGAAGGACTTTGCCAGGTCATTGTGACCTTCTTTTGTTAAGTATTAGATGACTTTAGCCTCATATGAAAACAAAAAAAAAAAAAAAAACAAGTCAGTCAGGAGATGGGTCACAAGTTTTCACATAGGTATACCTGTAGTCTGTAGGAAGAATTAACCACCAAACTCCATCAAGATATTGTCAACCAGAATTTCTGCCATGGTGTAGTTCTCCGTACATTTCTTTTTTGATTTCGATATTTTTCATGATACACACTTCACACTTCAATATAGATATCAAATGGTATTGAAATCGGATATTTCTTATGCACACTATTGTCAAGTTCCATTATGGTTATCAGAAAAAGCGACGAAAACATCCTTGGCGAAAGAAATCAGAAGAAAAATTAAGAAGATAATGGAAACACGTAGTAAAAATAATACGTCCTTCAGCATTGTTTGTTGAACATTACAAAATATTCTTTATACAACACAAAGTATTGGAAGTGTTGACAAGCCTGACTCTTCGTGGAAGATATGATATTATTGATATCGATCGATGTAAATAAAGTTTGGCATGAAACAAACAGTTTGAATGTCTTCGTCATTTTTCTATTGATGAATCAGATTCTTTCATTTTACATTTTTTCGCGAGTCTTTTTTTCTCCCATGTGATGATTCGTCTAAGCGGTAAACATATAACACCAGCTATAGTTATCACACCTCCAGCAAAGTAAAAAGCGTCATCATAGTTTCCTGAAGCATCTGACAGTGCCCCTACAAATCAATCATACTTTTCGCAACTTATATGTATACTTTATATATACTGGAACTGAATTCACTTACTTTTGTTATATATTGAAGCGTTTTTTGATACTGGTCAACTAATAATAAAACTATTATAAGAAAAATATAATGTTTGAAACTTTATGATATTTTCCTTTGAAATATCTTAAAGGGTGTTTCTTTAGATCATTTTATCGTCTAATATTACAATTACTTCCCTCACAAAAGAAAATATCATATGATTCTCGATAGCTTGACTTGAATTCCTTTGGGCATATCTAATAAGATATTTATGAATTGCGATCATAATACTTTTCCATTATTCATTATTACGTGGGGAAAAAGGACATTGTGACGTCATAACATAGGACATGACATTAACAGAGTCATGTAGAAAGGAATCAATGCAAGTTATTTTGATACGGTAATTTAAGAAAATATTAGAAATTTGCTAATTACTTACCTGCAATAGGCGAACCTACTATGCTGGCGAAGCCGATAAACATGTTCAATAGGCCAAACCCATTAGATAACCTCTCGATACCTTTTATTTCCACCATAAGGATCGAATTCAACAGTTCAAAAGCTCCTGTAGCGTAAAGAAATGAAATCTTTATCAAGGTTTCTTTTTCATTCATATTTCAGTATAGTTTTCATTTAACACTTTTTATCGATTGCAATGTCAATGGTTACAACGGCAGTGGAAGAAAAATCGCCTTGTAGAAGTACACTATTTTTTTCAGCCTACACACTTAAGCAGTTTGGCACTGTTATTATTTTCTTTTAGCACATTCATTAACATATAACACAAGCACTGGATGTTACGCCTAGCATAAGATTACATTATGTTGTTTATGAATCACTGCATGGCTTTGAATAGTATTTTATAAATGCTATTATTTGTCCTCAATATTAAGTATCAGTTCGAACAAACCGGAAGTGACGTAGATTACTTAATATTGACCTTACTCGACGTAGGAATAATCGAATTGAAATCATTTTAAAGGTTTTGCATACAATTAACATTTAACTGTATATGCCTACACAGAATGATTAATATTGCCAGACCAAAGAATTGCGTTTTAACTGAAACATGATGAATCTAATAAATTAATAATGCATAGTGTCTTTGATATTTTTCGACTGCAAAGAAAACCATTTGTATCTAATTACTGGCAGTAAAATTCTTCAAAGCAATTTCTATAAAAAAAAACCCCTTATCATTGACCAACTACCTGCAATTAAATGCCTCTTTAGTGTATTGTGAAATCTTTATTTTCGGGGGATTTATTTTTGTAGATTTTGTGGGTAATTTTAATCCAATAATCCATATGCCCTCGAATTGTTAAAATCAATAAATGTAGATTTATTTAGAGATATTTATTCACGAAATCAGATGCCCTGAAATATTGTTTTTTTTAAACCACAAAAAATGAATCCCTCGAAAATATATGATTTATATCTAATAACATCAACAGTATATATGTCACCGTTCACAATAAGGATAATGAGCATGTCCGAAAGTTACATGTGAAAATATCTATCGTATAACGTCAATAAAAATATTTCGTATTCCTTCGTTTTGTGAAAAAATTTCCATCTGGTGATTCAAACCTACCTATCATGATTCCAAACACGGCGGAATAAACAACAAGGATTCCAAATGCATGGTAGTAAGGCACCAATATTGTAGCCACTCCTCCAGTCATCAGGACAATATTGTTTGTTAGAATATTGTCAACACAGGGAAGGTCGATGATGAAGCCAAACACAACATTAGACACAGTATTGCATATTCCAATGATAGATATTAATAAAGCGCCATTGCTGGCCGAAATACCAAGGTCACCGGCGAGGGCAGGCAGGCAGTTAAACGGAATAAAAAATCCTGAAAAACAGAAATAAACAGCTGTCAACGACAGGTCTTTGTGAAACATTGAAAGATATTTTCTTTTTTAAAGAAACCTTTCAACAAATAATTTATCGTATTTTTGCAATAAGATTGAACAAAAGACACACCAGTTGAAGTTTGATAGAGTAGAGACAGACAATGAATTAATCTGCATCACCTGCCTGTTTAGTCCTTCTAGTCAGTAATAGTGAGGAACTGAACTTTGAAGCCCATGGGGAGACCGAGCACATTCCAAAGTGATGGAAAGGGAAGTCTATAAGGTGAGGTACACTAGCATATATTAATCTATAATCAACTTCAGGTAAATGCGTATATTCTAATGTATTTCATATATCCTATACATCAGTCATGCTTCATAAATCACTCGACTACCACTAAACATGGAAATAAGGACAGTTGGATTATATCAATTCCATCGCACCTGTTATTATTTTTTTTAATATGATATGATATTATGATATGGAATGTAAGGTTTTCACATCATTTAAATAGTTATTAGTATGTCGACTTATTTAAATGTGCTTGCATGATTAATGGGTATTCAGTTTTGTTACAGGTAATGAAAATACAAAATATGGACTCGTGTAGTAATGCTTTTTAAGAACAATATCGCTGATTATCTTACCGACAGAGACCAAGAAACATGACGTGGTGTATACCACAAATGACGGACTTGTCAGCATCGAACAGTCAAACGTCTTCCAGAATGACGCTAATATGGTTTTTAATGTCTGTTCGCCATTTGGTTTATTTTTAGTGTCATCTTTTACTGTTAGTGGATAATCCGATCTATAGAAGGAAGCAAAAACAATGCCATTCAGCACAATTCCCGTGATGATCCACATGGCGCCTCGCCAACCATACGTTTCCAGTAGAAGTACGGAAAGTGGAGCGAACACAAACCCTCCGATACCCGATCCGCATGTGGCGATCCCAGTAGCAAGAGCTCGGCGTTTTTCGAAATAGTAACTCACTATTATTATCGTAGGTGTGTATACAAGTCCAAAACCAATTCCTATAACACATGGTTACAAATATACATGTTACTGATTTAATTATTCTGGATTCTGCTGCGATATCTCAGAATCACCCAGATTAAATCACACAATAATGATGGTCAAACTGACATTTGTATAAAAAGAATTATTGATGCATTGATATCTTATCATGTCAATTGACTGTCAAAATATCGGGTTTGAAGACAAAACAATGTTAAATGCAGAAGGAAATTTTGCCATTCATATTCTGATAAAATAATTAAATATATCGTTTACTCTCTTCTCTTCTCTTAAAAAAAAAAAAAAAAAAAACAAGAAAGTACCTGCATGTCAACATACTCATAATCCGAACTCGAATTCAATTAAACTTGGGTAAAACATTAACAAACGAAAAATTTAGTCGGAGACACCTAAAATGTACAAGGAGAATAATATCAGGTGTTCAAATAACATTCAAAAGATAGATGTCGTTCTTACCTCAAAATAGGAATAAAAAAATCTAAAAAGGGCACAATTAGTCACAGAAACAACGTGAGTAGAAAGACATAATTGTCGTCACGTGAAAACCGAAATAAAAAGTTTTCAAATGCAGTAATATTGACATACAATGTTATACGTTTCAAACAAATAACGGAATTTATTTATAACATTTTCAATTATATAATTTTCAACAGTAGAAATGATGACGTACCTCCGATGATACCGTACAAAACAATCATGACGTCCAAGTTAGGCGAGAACGTGGACAGGAATAGTCCGCTACTCGCAATCATAATTCCCAAAATCGTCGTCTTCCGACATCCAAACCGATTAACCGACACTCCAGCCACTGGTCCTTAGGGTCAAAAATAAAAATAAGACAGGACCGAGACAAACAACAACTACATATGAGAGCAACTGAATGAATCGATATCAGACTTATGAACTGACGGGCCGTTAAGAATGTAGTAATAGTAATAATGATAATAATGAAATGTCTGTATATTAATATTGAATGTGGCCAACGCCCACTTTTGTTTACACAAGAGACATCTACCTAACCGAATCACTGTTAATTTAAGTTAATAGTTTTACAACATATAATTGGCAAGAATGAAATATATGTTAGTGCAACACAGAATGTAAAATATAAGATAATGACGCAAAAAATCTATTGTCAAACAATTTAACTTACTTACTACAAAAATTGTTTAAGTGTCATAACAATGAATTGACCAAGTTTATCAGCGTTGACTACTTGACGTCAATCTGACAGTCCACACATAGAATCCATTACAAAGAAAATGTCCTTGTGATGGTTGTCACTTAATGACAGGACGGATCCATTTAAAATTTGCTTTGGTTATCTTGTTTTTATAAATAACATTAAACAGGACACGAAAAAGTAAAAATTCCCAAATAAATTTCAGACACGTCGGTCAAGGTTTAATTAGATATTAAGGCAGAGTCACAGCTTCTTTTCCAAGCTGACGAAAACAAAAGAATTTTGCGACACATTTAGACTTTAATATGAACTTTTAAATATATGTAGAGGAAAATATTGTCGCCTGTGACAATTAACTGATTAAATGTGTGTCAAAGCAAACTAAATTATACCTAGTAGAAAAGACAGTCCATTGGTGACAGAGCTAAGAAGCATTGTCTTTGCTTTACTACCCCTGAAGTGTATGATGAATACTGGTAAGAAAACACCAATTGTATAGCAGACTCCATCTACCAAAAAGTTGAGCATGAAGGAGGAGAACGTGACAATCCAACCCCATCCACCGTCTAAATTGCTAGACACTTGGCTATTTTTCCTTGGGGCTTCTGCCCTTTCGGGATCTGTTTGTACCATGGTATATTCCTGTACAATATACAAAAGAACATCAATGTTATTTTTAATCATACTGTATGTCCATTATATGTAAAAAAAAAAATAAACAAAATTTATTGAAATTCCGTCAGTATCAATTCGTCAATGTGTCACCTTTGAAAGGTCACTTTTATTGCAGCAACAGCAGCTTTTCAATAAAACTAAAAACGTTGAAAGAACACTGCTACGTCACAAACGGTCGATTAATTGAACAAATAATTAATGACATGAACTGCACATATCGGCAATTTATGTTTGTTATGAAAATACTGATCTGCCTGCGTCTAATAACCATGCTTTTATATCCTACATATGGCCCAGTGGTAAAGATGCAATCTATAATTTGTGTATGGAAACCGTATAACTCCAGGATCCAGGAAAACAAATACGATATTCGTAAATTTCCGTCTTACTGTCTTTGTTGTTGATATCTATTTTCCATTTTTTTTGTCTCCGTCTCCATATGACCCCTATCGTAACGAGGACCTTAAAATTTGTTTTTCTCTGCCGTCATTTCCTGTTATCGCTTTCTCGTTCTACCTGTTAAACTGTCCAATTTCTCAATTTGTCTAATTTCATGTAGATGATTCATAGAAGTTCTGTGGAGGTTCAATCTTTCTACAAACATTACTTTTCTTGTACTCAAATGTATAGAAGGATTAAGTATTGTTCAGATATGATAAATGCGTCCTCCATCTTGTTTATTAATTACATCCGGGTTCCTGTTTCAGAAATATTATTAATTACATCCGGATTCCTGTTTCAGAGATGTTACTGTGTTAGATATTCAACTAACATTGTTTGTTCTCCAACACAAGATTATCTCGCAAATGTTGCCCAATAAAAACAACAAATCTCACTTATGTCTCGGAAGACAGTGGGAAGACTATGTTTTTTTTTAGGTTTTTATGCTCAACCATCCGTCCGGTTTTCTAATTGATATAGTCTTGATCATATGTTGGATCTTATTTTGAGAAATGAAATCCCTTCAGAATGCTGTAACGTTCTGTAGCCTTTGTAGAATGAAAGCGAACAGCGAACACGTATCTTACTTTTTTGTATAAACGTTTTCGTCAACAAGAGTGTTTCATTACTTGACTCTACTGTAGATAATTCTCATTTTCATCGAAAAGTTCTATTAAGATAATTTTTCGTCGTTTGTACGATGGTCTGTTTCACCTCGGCACAAGGTCTGCACATCGCCTGTATTACATGTACGTGCTATTACTGTATCCAAAACTCCCTTTAAACCACAAACAAAATAATCGAGACACTTGTGTTTACACAATCGCAATGATTTACATGAATTAATATTCAAATCAACAACAATAACTTTATGTAAATAAAATCACACTTACCGTGTAAAGCAATGACGGAACTCGATGTTACGTTCCCCTAACACAAGCGTATATTGTGAACAGACTGACACACAAGTGGCACATAATAATTATAATAATAATGTATTTTTTGACATTTTGGACATATCACCTTTATTTAAATGGCTGACACAGTTTAAATGGAATGTGTGATAGCTAGTCAAAGACAATAGAAATTATGGAAATAAGTTACCATCTGGCTATGAAGTAATATATTTAAACAAATTAATATGTTAGTCAACATAGGTAGAGTGCCTTGCTGGGACAGGCCGTGGTCAACAACATCACAGTCGCCTAATGCATGAGCACCGTCGTCAGTATGTGTTGACAATGATATGCTTCGCTAACAAGGTGGGGCATAGACAACCATGCGTCAAAAAGTTCAATAAATATGGTGTGATGCAGTGGCAATGCAAATAGACAACAATGAGTTGACAGGCAATCATATGTGTGACTAGCTATAGGTGTGTAGGTGGAGCATATCTCCAATACTAGTCTATTTCAATTTTACTCAAGATATATACAAAAATATTTTTAAAAATTGAACACTTTTGAAATATAACACAGATGATGGAGATGCTTATATTTGATATTCTTCGTTTGGAACGATGTTTTCCTTTAGTTTTTAACATTTTTCTTAATGTTACATATGTTGGTGAGAATTTATCAGTCAGCAATTTTAAGAGACCGAAAATCACCTTCCATTCTCTAATACTACAAGACTTGCATAGTTGTTGTATTCTTTAACAGCTATAATATGATACAATTTCGGAAGATCATTTGAAATATGGCATACAATATTCACTACACGTAGAACAAACACTTATTTGAACAAACTGCTTGTATTATGTACCTTGAATAGAATTTGTTGCAAACATGGAAATGAAACTCAAATAATTTTCTATATACATGGACGATCGGATACAAGTAAAGATAGAGTTATCGGTGTAATTTTCAGGAGAGATGTTGTAACATTATTAAACACTGTCACATATACGATATCATGACGGGGAACCAAAGCTTTGAAAAAAATGAGCTTGCAAAAGTTGAGTATGTCAACGGGTATCAATGTAAGAAGGAATTAATGTTTTTACGATGGTCCAAATTTGCAAATTAAGGCACGAACATGTGTTCAATAATTCGTGATCTTACTGCATTATGCTACAGAGTATAGGTAGAATTATGATACGGGCTATAGTTTCCATGCCGATGGCACCATTATTATACACTATGGACAATTGTAATACAGACTATAACTCAAAGTGCCGGGTAAGCCACCATACATTAATTATGCTTGTTACAGTCGACTGATTTGTGTCGATCGCACACGGACCAATAATTTCAATGAAAAAGTCATTTGCTTCGATCATTTAAAAATTTTTAAAGATATGGATCGAGTCATCCTAATGACATGTAAAATCGTCTCGTGATGTAAACATTTATTTACGTTATGCGACAGAAGTTGATCGCTATACCACTGATTAACGCGACAGACCGGTAGCATTAGGATTTTATCGGCATTAGATTTAGTACAAGGTAACCAAGAATCAGTATTAACGATGTACAAATGAAGAGTAGCTCAAAGAAGGCGACATATACGAAATCATCTATTACTCTACTAGATGCGAATCTTACAACAATATATTTATAACGCTTTCCCGTAAACGCTATATGTGTCATGTCGGTGCTGTGTGAAAGACGATACGCTATGATGTAATGGTAATTAGCACACAAAAGTAGCATAGTCTCGCACAAACGGTTAATAACAAAGCTTTAACTACCATCCTATCGCCGAGTTAGATATTATGTGTAGTGTTATAGCTAGCATGTGATGATTATCATAGAAATAACTGATCGCCAAGTACATGTGCACTTATGCTGTGTGTTCACGGTATCCAGTAGCTTTGGTTATTAAAACGGCTTCACGCACAAGTTCCCACACGATAAAGAGCTCCTGTCCGTTGTAGAATACTAAAAATCAGCCGCGCATGTCCACAGCTTACCCATGTATTTTAATGTTGAAGTCAGGATGACATAAACGAACGATGCACACAGACATACACACGTGTTTCCACTCAAACAACAAAATCCTACATACAAGTAACTGTTGCATAATTACTACCTGTTTTGTCTCCATTTTTGTGAACAGTGGTGTCGTCTACGATGTTGCTGTCTGTTGTCCGCCCTTCAGCAAGGCCTCGACTTGGTAAACTCGGATTGACTCGTACGATATATGTTGCCAAACTATCGAGATCGATGTTAACCTTTTTGCACTCCCCACTTGTCCGATTTCAGACTTGTCTGAGGGTCCTTTCGGAGTATCCTACTTCATAAGTTTTATATGCGACTGCATGTTCTAAGACAAATCGTCATGCTGCAAGGTAGCGAAATCTGTTCAAAGGAGGACCGACACATTAAGAGAGCGTCGGTGACCACTGTAAATGTAGTTAAACTCTCTAGATATTTTAGGATAGAATGACTATTAAATTGATCCTTCATAAAGCAAACTAGACTATTACGTATGAAGGATACACTAAAATTATGTATTATGATGTTAACTACCCGTATGAAATTTTATTCCAACGTTACACTACACCTCAATGGTTACGAATTAAATTTGAAATATCATTGCATACATATTAACTATACATATAGATGTACTCGAGTTTTATTGATTGTTAAGATATATATTTCTCCGATGTGTCAATGAACTATTATGTACGTGCATATTTTATTACGAATTAAAATATCATTTTAAATCTATGCAACAGCTGATGATAAAAATTTTGTATATTTCATAGATTATATAACTCACGAATTAGATAATATGTCATCAGTTTAACGAAGAATTTGTTATTTGGATACCAACTTTTACTTCTTAAAACTAATAGTGAAAACAAATTTTAAGTGTAGTCACTAAGAGATTACGTGAATTTCATCCTGCAAATCATTTGTATTTCGCACAGGATATATGTTCGCGTTAATTTTACAATTTGAGCTAATCGCGAATTCAATTCCCTCGTGACTATTTGTATATAACTACTTCTTGATGACATCCAAGCTTATTCGGTTACCGATATTGAAGTCCACAAATACATTATTTCGCAAACAGTGATCTAGAAATGACTTTAAATTCTCGCATAATGGGTTATTGAGTATATGAAAAAAGTATTCAAGGAATTAGGATGGGAGACATTGAGTTGCAGGAGGTATAAACATAAGCTTTTCATTATGTATAAAATAATGAACAATGAAACCCCAGATTATTTAAGAGATACAATTTAACAATATGTTCATGATGAAAGTTAAGATAGACACCTTCTCCGTTCTAGCAGATTATTTGGTCCCCCTCTTACCGTATAATACATTACGTTGGTAGGTTTTTCCTATCTATGTTAAATGACTTTAATGGATTCACTCCAGATATTAACAACATACATTCAACTGCATAGTTACAAAGACTACTTAATAAAAATCAAGTACAACGTCTACAACAAATGTTATTTCTTAATATATCTATCAATTGTGATTTGAACATTATACTATACCAACTTTGAAAGAATTCCAATAATCTTAACTATGATCGTTTTAATCACTTATTTGAATTATTCAATGTGCGAATGCAACCAATCTTTCTTAACTGCTTCACATTATTTTCTGGATGTCTGAGTCTCTAAGTATTAATGTTCTATTACATGGTTGTTATAACTGTAATGATATACAAAATAGAGATATCTTATTCCACGCATCAAACTTCATATCGCATTCAAAAATCCTTATATACTAGAGGGATAAAGAAACATAGAGTAAACTTTGAAGATGATTCTGTCCCATTCCCTCTTTCAGGGGTTCAGCCCGGATTCTTCTAGTCATGGAGTTCATGGGTGAGTTTATCCTCGTCATTAGGACTTTAAACACCTAAAACAGTGCCGTTTTAACAAGGAAAGGTACATGTAGATGTGTATGTGCGGGTAGTAAAGTTGTAAATAGGAGAGACATTAAAACTAAGAAATCTGCTTGAAATGTAAGACTTCTGCACAATTTTTGTTTGTTTGATGGTTTAAAAGTAGATGGTAATAACTTTATTGATGCTAACGATATCGGTAGGTATGAAAGTGTTTTAAGAAATATCCGAAAAGAAAGCCACAGCGTGAAGGTCAAAACGTTGGTGTTGATGATGATACATTACGAAACATCCCACTATTATTCATAGAAGATCAGATTTATGTCCTCTTAAGCAAATGCACACTCTGTATAAAGTTTCAATCAAAACTCGACCTTGTTGCACAAGCTCGCTAAAACATCAACTCATCTTTCATCACAAGATGTAGTAAAATTGGTCCTCACGTGTTTGTTCATATCATTTCATAAGGGAAAGATGTTAACCCAACTGATGAAAAAGAATTGTTAATTTTCAGCTACCTTCCAAATTAAAAGAAATCATCATTGATCTTTTGGAGATATCACATATGCTATCAAAGCAGGAGTCTTCTTTTACTCTGCGTTTCTGGATGATGCAGATTGTAATCCTTGATAGGTTGGATTAGAACACAGTATCTAAAAAACACTTTCTTATTGTTTATCCTCTATTGGCACTGGTATTTACACTCCTGACCACGTTGATGCTTGTTATGGGAAAAAATGAAGACGGACTTAACACGGAAACAGTGTTCAACTCTTTTTAACATTTTTCCAGTTTATCGAAAATATTTCATTACATAGTAAAAGCATTAGACATAACCATTTTTCCTTTGTTCCTTGGAGAAAATATTCTGAAGCACAACTTTGTGTTCTCAGAAGCAGTTCTCGGTCAGTGGGTGACTGTCATACTTGACGGTACATATATCTTTATCTTAAGAGTTCTGATCACACGCTTCAAGTTGAAGTTAATGAGCATAGCCCTGTCTGATTGTTACATTCTGGACTCAGCTGGACCTTTTCCTCGGAGCTATAATGATGCGAATATTACAAAGCCATCATGGATAGTCTCTCCTGGCTGGAAAAATATGACAACGTCGTTGTTAATTGAGGGTTTTGTTCGGGATGCTTTGCCAGATTTGGAATCACAAGGTTCGACAACAAATATGCCGTCTTATCTAAAATCTGTGCAGGCTCAACATGACGACCTACAAGCTAACCTTGTTAGATCCATAACTAAATTCAAATAGGTAGTGAAGTCATAGCACGCACGTTTCAAGCAATGGCTGTTTTTCAAAACACAACTTTTCTTCAACATTTTCATTGATGTCAATAATAACAGCCTGCCTCAATGGAATCCAAGGACCCATATATGTTAGAACAGAGAGAGACGCAAAAGATAGGGCGCTTACTGCCAAAACTTAGCTGACCGTGTAAAACGGCGCCAGATCTTTTCAGAAGGGCCATGTCACTCTTTGTCCAACTAGCTTCTACTGCGAATAATTTTGACTTTCTAAATTTAGACATATAATACCTTCAGAAAATATCCTGTGGCACACATCAAATATCATTGGCAGCTAGTTACATAAGTAAGCACCTCAGTGATGATGGTGATTACGAGATCTTGATCTATCGAGTCTAACGAGACAGTGTACGATGCCAGATCCACTCAAGGCATAAGAGCAGTGTAAAGCACGAGTTTGGATCCAGCATAAAAGTTCCGACGCAGCCATTAGTCCCGTACAGGATTATTATTGCCAGTGTCCTACTGGACAGAGAACCATGGGGACATGTGCCCACGTAGCCAGTATCCTGTACTATGTAGGGTATTACATGCATTCGGGAGCAAGTAAGGGTTTGCATCCAAAAGTCAAAAGGATCAAGGCAAACCTCAAGTAACGCAAATTTCGCTACCAACCGTCATCCCATCTCCAAGGTCTTATGTATGATCGAATTGGACAATTAGAACTACATTACTGTATGAGCTATAAATAGTGTACGATGTAGACCAACAGCGATATGGCCAATTAGATGCTAGGATGAAGAAACCTTATTTGATTCTAGATTCAGTGGTTTAATGTGTAACCAACTTTACTTTAAAATTAAGCATTCTTGTTAGAATATTGATTAAGCAGTTGTAAGAACATTTAATTTTTGACAGTTTCTTAGTACTAATGAAATGTTCTTTCTCAAACTCCATCATATTTATTTCCTGTCCCCAATGTATTCAAAATTGCGACTTCTTGCTTTGAATAACTGATATCTAACATGTTATTATCGGCATGTTCATGTTTGATTTTCTTTTTGAAAAAAAAAGAGAAATAATGTTGTAGCATTTTCGTTCAAACCATATCTTTTTTTAAATTTTCATTCTTGGCACAAAAAGGGCGTTATAATCTTGCGTAGGTACATGTTTGGACTTAAATGTCTATTTATAAACAAATGACTACAGAGGCTACCTTATAGCTCATACAAGCCGTTGTATTTGCTTCTTATGCCATTTTGAAACCCCACCTTGGGCAAAATCCAATTATTCCTACGCAAGCAGGATTTTTCCCCTTTTGGGCCGCGACCCTTCGTGCTTCTCATATGGATGCTTCAGACCAAAGTTGGGCAAAATTTGCTGGGTCGGTCATGCCTAGTAGCGATTTTTAGAAAAAGTTGACGGACGATGAATGCCGCGGTTTCCGTAAAGCACCCTTGGTCCTTCGGTCCAGGTGAGCTAAAAAGATTCTTTGTTTTGGTATTGTAAAGCACTCTTGGCCCTTCGGTCCAGGTGAGCCAAAAAGATTCTTTGTTTTGGTATTGTAATTGTTGTTTTTACTTTTAATTCTTCTTTTGTATTAGACAGGTTACTACTCCGCTTTTACACGATCGTTTTGTTACTACAGGGAAATATTTAATGAACAATTTTCCTTTTTACAATTAAATCAACCTTGCAATTTTCGACCTGTGATAAAAGCTTTCCCCATCGTTTCGGGTTGTCTACAGTTTTGGTCTGTATAGCACATTCATGATATGCACCGGAAGTGTTTGATTTGAGTATGAGCACGTTCAACAGAATAAAATGCATATTCGATCAATGGTCATATAAACATTGTATCACGTATCACAAAAAATTAATTTTGATATACAAAACATGATTTTTTATGATGCCATGATACAATATCGGAATAACATGTACGGTTAGTTGAAGATAACACAATGTATATAGAGGAA